TTTATTTTGACCCTAATTCACATTAACCACGCAGACGCTTGTCTAAATATTGTTTTTATTTAAACACTGTATGTATCAATGTTGTAATGAATCAGTGCTGTGAGATTATTGTCTGCAATCTATAGATGAAAGGTTAATATGCCATAATGCAACACCAAAAAAGTGAAAATCTCAAACCAATCTGATTCCTTCAGTAAAAATTCCAGTAATCTCCCCACAGCAGTTTAAAAAAGAATCTAATCATAAGAGTTTGATGGTGCTATTGGTTGTTATCTTCCCAAAGAACTCTAATTTAATAAAATTTAACATTTTAATAAAACAAATATGTCAACATGTCGAATCATTTTTGCTTTATCCTGTGTGTATTATTCTGTTATTTTGTTCTCTAAAATTGTGTTGTTCACGTTTTTGAAACAAACATATTTATTTATTGTTTGAATTTGCGATTTCAAAAATATATGAAACAGAAAATGTAAGTAAATGTAGGTCTTGTTGTCATTATTTATCACAGAGTAACTCCAGGCTTTTTTCTTGGTATCCCGTGTTTACTTTATTTGCCATTCGCGGCTTCAAAAAGTGCATAAAGTTACACACAATTACTATCAACTATAACATTACTTTCTTAATGATTGCGCGCCCATATTTTAATGATCATGACAGACTTCATTAAACCTTAAGCTGCTTTGGGGGTGGATCCATCACCTGCTACCTCAATGAGATGACATTGCTTGAAGAAAACAATTATGACCAATACAATTACCAATAAATAGCTGGTAATTGGGGGGGTGTGGTGGAGCTGTCAGCTTTCAAGTTTAAAGCTGGCCACAGACAGATTTATGTCACGACTTAAAATCTCAGGAGACTGTAGACCTGTAGCATGTAGCTAGCTAGCATAAGCCTGCAGTTGCAAAGATAAAAAATATGAATCTTAAAATATGGTTTAGCATTAGTCTAGTATTAGTACATTAAAGCTGGGGTACCTGATTTACAAGCCTTAAAAAAGTAAAGAAGACGACCTTGCTCCACTCTCTAAAATAATTTCTTCATTATAGATAAAGAGAGAGGGTTCAGAGAGAGACCAGAGAAAGATCAGAGAGATGCCAGAGAGAGATAACAGAGAGAGACCAAAGAAAGACCAGAGAGAGACCAGAGTGAGACCAGAGTGAGACCAGAGAGAGACCAGAGTGAGACCAGAGTGAGACCAGAGAGAGACCAGAGAGAGACCAGAGAGAGAGACCTGGGTGGGACCAGAGAGAGACCAGGGAGGGACCAGAGAGAGAACAGAGAGAGACCAGAGAGAGACCAGAGTGAGACCAGAGTGAGACCAGAGAAAGATCAGAGAGAGACCAGAGAGAGACCAGAGAAAGATCAGAGAGATGCCAGAGAGAGACCAGGGAGTGACCAGAGAGAAACCAGAGAGAGAGACCAGGGAGGGACCAGGGAGGGACCAGAGAGAGACCAGAGAGATGCCAGAGAGAGAGACCAGGGAGGGACCAGAGAGAGACCGTGAGAGACCAGAGTGAGACCAGAGAGAGACCAGAGAGACCAGAGAGACCAGAGAAAGACCAGAGAGAGACCAGAGAAAGACCAGAGAGAGACCAGAGAGAGATATACCAGGGAGAGAGATCGGAGAGGGACCAAAGAGAGACAAGAGAGAGAGACCAGAGAGACAAGCCAAACGCATCCTTACTTGCAAAATATTAATAGTTTTCTTAAAGTGGTCCTTGATTAAATTGGAATATTGTGATCTAATTTGTTAAAAATCTAACTTTTACAAGACAAGAAAAGATAGTATATGTTAAGATCAGAACTGACTGTCAGCTTATGCAACTCATGCCCACAAATGTAAGTAGTATCCCACAGAGTTCATCAATACATATTTCCTATGCCGGCTTATGCAACACTGTGACTCATAATGCCTTTCATGTACATTTGAACATATAACACGAGGTCATTGCTAGGTCAAATTCTCCCTGCAGTTCCAGCCGTCGCCACACGAGGGCGTCGGGAAATGACTGTGGGCAGATGTGAAGGTTATTCCCATCCACCATGCGCCACACATTAGAGGAGGAAGTGGTGAGAGAAGCGGTTTCCTGTTTTTACATCCACAGTGGTTATGAAAGCCTCTGATACAACACAACTATATAGTATACGACCACAGCGAACACAGACAGGACAGCTATAATGGGATACGATCAAAATGTAAATATATAAAGGGCTTGACCACAGTGCATATCATTGTTTTGTTCAAATATCTGACTGAAGTAAAGTAACTAAAGTAAAGTAACCACAGTGACTAAAGTTGAGGTCATTAAATCGCTATTACACAATTATTTACCCACATTTTTTACCTGCATTGCTGAAAAAATGCCTTTATACCTATTGTTTACTATTATTTTTTGCACCATGGGTCAAAGAGCCAAAAGTAGCTGTATTTTATATTCATGCGACAAAGCGTCACATTATTTCCTGTAATCTTATTACGTTTTTTTGACTTGGTCTGTGCTAGCACTATGGTCTTGTAGTGAGTTGTGGTGGACTTGTTTAGTAATTAGATTGATACATTCAGCTAAAGTGTTGACGTGCTTTCTTTGAGGAATAGCTTTGACTGTGGCAACTCAGAGAGATTAGGTAACTTTACAAAAGCACAATGACGGCACAACCAAAGAGCACTGCTGTGTCCCAAAAATGCCCAGAATCCTCAAAGTTTAATTCTCGTTTGAGCATTATTGAATGAAAGTCGTATAAACTTTTGGTGAGGTCCATCTCAGCCACAGTCAAACTCAAGCCGATCCCCACGCACCGGAAGTTGAGTGTCGGTATAACTGAAACGCGGAAGTGGTGCGTGCAAAGAACCCATTAGATTTATTTTTGTATAGCCCTAAATCACAACGCCAGTCACCTCTGAGGAATTTACAAAGTTGACAATTCACCAACACAGATCACAGAATCAAAAGCAGGAAATGGAATAATGACAAACACATATCGGACAGTACAAAAATAAATGTAATTGGATTGAGTTGTACAATTTTGTGTACAATTATTTATGAAAAAACAGTTACTCCATATAAAGCAGAGTGTAGGGATTCCGAATAAGAACAGAGGGGACTGTGATGTTCCTAAAAAGAACACATTTGGACACACAGGCTTCTCACTGAGGGTCACTGACACTCTCCCAGCTCACACTTGGAAACACTCACCTTCACAACGTTTCTCAAACTGCAGCTCAGGAACAAATCAAAGCAGCAGTCCCAGCAGGAACTAATCTGTGCTTGTTTATGTTGATGTTCTTGTTCTTGTTATCATGTTCTGTGTTATCTCATGGTTGTAATGTCCTGTACTGTTTGCTTTATAGGGACCCTTTGTGTGTCTGAATTAAAGATTAAATAAATACAAAATAAATAAGTAATACTCTACTGTTTTCAATTTGCATTTCTTGTGTTTTAACTTTTTGATTCTCTGATCTGTGTTGACAAATCGACAGCTTTGTAGAGTCCACCGAGATACCTACTGTTGTGATTTAGGGCTATAGAAAAAATAAAAATGTAATTGAATCAACCTGCCCTGGGACTATAGAAACTAGCATACGTATCCAAATCTGGAATATTTACAATGACATTTGTTGATTAATGTACATTGTCCTTATTCAAATCAAAAAACAAATTTATCAATAAAATTCCAAAATGTTTCCGAAACCAGCACTACTCCAAGCTTTCCCAGTGTGTGTAAATGATATTGTCCATGACTTGTCCAGGTTTTCCCGTTTCAGTACGAAGCCTGTGAAGCGTTTTTGTGTGACATCATATGGTGTGAGTGTGTGATAATCCAGGCCTGAGCTCGTCCACAATGTATGAGTTTTGAGGCTTTTTTTCTGCAGAGGTACAACTGCTGATACAGCGGTTTTCTGGAAGGTCACGTGACTCACATCAACCAATCACAACACAGACCGGAACAATGATTTGTCAAGTCCACAGTAAATGACACCAGGAGAAGCCCAAAGACTAATTCAAACCCTGATGCTTTTGTCTACACAGATTTCTTTGACGATTCTTTACTCTTCCTGCTATTCTGCCGCCAAATTATACTGCATAACAATCTGCAAATATTGTGTTTAATGATGAGTGACAGGTTTGATCCGTCTTGATAGTGTTTCAGCGACGGTTTGTGGTAATGCTTAAGGTGATAATGCAATATTTCTGATTGTTTGGGTGCAGAATGTGGGTCAGGTTTCGGTACATGCAATGAAATGGGTGAGATTAGAACAGATTATTAGCTAATAAAGCTAAAAAATGACAATGCCATGCTCTTCAATTATTTCATATTTTTTGCATATTGTTTGCTGAAAAGCTGAAATTCTCCATTCACGTTTCACCTCTAGGGGCTTTAACTCGAAACATCCCTTTTTTAATGAATAAAAAGTTTCAGAAAGTTTGGTCAAAGAATAAGTAATTATAATAAAAGCATAGTACTTGAAGGTAAAAAGGAAAGAGAGTGATCGGGGAAATGTATAGGGTCAGAGAGTGTTTGGGCCTCATGCTGCATTATGCATATCCAGTTTATTGATAATATTTATTTAAGGTTAAAACACAACCTAATCAGTGATTCATTTATGAGCTTGTGTCCTTCCTGTCCTTATATGATTATGTAACGTTTTACTTTCACTTAAAAAGCAATGCCACAAACAGTGAATAGAAATAAGAAGGAGGAAGGACAAGGAAGCAGTTATTGTTTTATGAATTCAGATGCAGCCCCCTGTCTGATTCACAGAGCTGTCAATGAAAGCAGCCAGCCAGTGCCAGTGCCCAGATGCACCATGGGAAACATTTGGGTGTGTTTCGCGTGCATCCACTTACATTGCAGAGCTTCTCTATGGGGCCTGGCTATTTTAGGCAGTAGCTTTGAGTGTCCCGGCAGTAGTACGGCTCTTGTGAATGACCCATATTTGGTTTCACTTTAACCACGTTCCACTAAAACACGTGGTTGGTAGTTTTTTTACTCACAGTGCTTTGTGGTGGTTCTCCGCCAGGATCTGGTCATTCGGCTTCAGTCCATACCTTCAGAAAGATAAGCAAAATCTAGCGCAAACTGCAGCTACAAATGGTATTTTTTGCAGATTTGAAATGCTCATACTTGTCAAGGAAGTCTTTGTCCACAACGGCAGAGATGTCCAGAAGAGGGTTTCCCATTCCAAACAGAGTGTTCTCGCTGCAGAAAGCACAAAAAAGTAATTGTTAGAGTAAGTGTTAAAAATATAGGGGGGTGGGGGGGTATTGAATGGGAAATATCACAGTGGTAGTTGTCAACGAGGGAGCATTTCACAGCCATGAATTACAGTATGTGTGGATGGAGATAAGAAATTGACATACACTATGCTTTGGCTGTGGGGGGCAAGAAAAACAAAAGAGGGAACTTCTTATGCAAGATATTGAGCCATAAGAGAGAATACAGAGGAATGGTTACACACAGGAAACAACTTTCGATTGATGTTAAAATATAACTAGTGGGAAGTGTAAACGAGGTATTTGCAAGTCAGCAGTATTAGGAATAGTTCGAAACAAGCAAAAGACATGGGAGAAAACAAAAGGGAAAAGAATAGGGGTGCTGGTAATGTGTATGTTTTGCCTGTGTTTTGAAAAGCCAGTCCATTATTACATGATTAGCGATATCTTTATACCACACCCTCTGCTTTTATAACTCCACACCTTTGGAAATTTACTTCCCAAACATTCCCTTGTAAACATTTAATTCATCCTGCGTGCCTATTCTGACTTTTACCTTGCAGATGACATGTCGTCCAGTGATGGTTGTTTCTATATTGAAGCTCAAAAAGTTCAGAGTAGTAGATCCTCACTACAGAAGCAGCGTGTTTGACTGAGCACGCTGCACTTTGAGCAAAGCGCTGTGATTGGAGCAGGGGGAGGGCTGGCTCTGTAAAGTTTTCATGCTCTGGTTGGTCCAAAGGCAGGAAACAGCAGTGATTTATACAAGCAGCCAGTGGAGAAAGTGTACTACTGGTGTCGTTACCATTAGTGATGCAGATACACACCAGTACACACCTCAACATACATAACATAAAAATGATCCTGCTAATCTTCAGAGAACAAAGGGGAAACCTATGATCAAGCTATTCTACTTCACAATGTACAAATAAAAACTTTAACAAATATAGTATAGAATCGAACTGAGCTAAAATGTGAAAACGTGTAATATTCTATCATTTTCTTTCTTCATAATTGCTTTAGTGCTACATTTTTAGAAGGCTAACACGTTTTTTTTTATTTTACTTTTATTGAACCAAAAAGCCTCAGAGATTCAAATTTTTTTGACACCAAGTATTACATTTTTCTTTTTTAATAGGAAAACAACATGTAAAATTAAACTAATTTGCAAGCATTGTTGAAATGATAGGTGATCCCTATTAGTTGCAGGGTATTGAGCTAAAGACTAAAGAATTTCTAATTTGCTGTTGGCGAATCAACAATCCTGCATGCCAAATTAGAAATTCTTTAGTATCTATATATATATATATATATATATATACTTCCTGTAGATCAACCTCCACTCAAACAAAGACAATTAAGACTTTGTGAGAATTTGAATTGTTAAAAGTGTAATAGTCAGACTTTTAGAAATCAAATAGATGAGTACACTGCACAATGCATTTTTAAAACTGGCATATTTATATTTATCAACTCATGAATTAATTTATATTTTCAAAGCTGCAAAGTTAGTTACCATGACAACCTGCACAGAGGCAGACAAACAGTAGTCATTATTTGATCAAACAAGAAGCAATATAGTTTTAACAGTTATGAAACAGAAAGAAAAAAGGGGGCGAGCGATCAAAACTTTTGAGCTTTGAGTGAACTGAAAGGGGCGGGCATCTGCTATCGCTGAACTTGAGCATCTGCTTGTGTTAACATTAGCTTTAGAACTCCTTTTATTCACTGCCGAGCATAAACACGCCTATTGCTAGCACGTTAGCATGAGCATATACATGGATCTACACGACTGTCATTTTTCTTTGTTACATGTTGGTGTTGTAATGCTTTATTCACGAGTCAAAGCTGAAATCCTCTCCTCCTCTCCGCTTCTTGAAAGGCACCAGAAGCGGCTAATGCTAACACCTTTGCTAACATCAAAACATTGCCAACACGTGACATTATATATTAGCATTACTCACGTCAACGCGAAGCTTTTCCCTATGGACACGTTTGATCCTTCGTCCGACATGATGCGGGAATCAGCAGCGAAGGCAGAAAAAAACGGTGTCCAGTCACTACCGGGAGGAGGAGACAGATGAAGCGGGAATGAGAGCCTTGTGCCTGGGGGAGAGTGGAGGTTTTCCCCTTCGCACAGACGGACACACGGACACCAGCTGGATGTACGGATGAGTAATGTGGATCATCGTGGGCAGAAGGTGTTATGATCAAGTCAAACTGGATATTGTTGGGTTTAAGATGTAAGATGTACTTGCACTAGAATATACAGCATTTTATACTTGCTCCTTTTTATGCTAAATATAGAGATTTTATACTGATTCTTTTTATGCTTGAGTTAGAGATTTTATTTTAATGTATAGTTATACATTTATCTTGTGCTGCGTGCTCCTCATTCTTACTGTCTGTAACTTTTGATGCAACACTGAAATTTCCCTACTGTGGGACGAATAAAGGATCTCTTAATCTCACTGTATATAAAGGTGAAGAATTACTGCAGGATACAGACAACTATACACTTTTTGGATGGGGGTAAAAGGCAAGGGAAGTGTATTAGTTGCACAGTTCATACACGAATCAACTCGAAGTGCTTAATAAAACAAAAGTAACATTAAAATTACACATTGTCTGAGTGGAAACCTGTCTGACATTTTCAGGAAGACTGTTGATAACCCTTTTATTTTTTACAGGTTTTCATATTTATGTTTGGCATTCATTTTGTCATGTTATATTGGATGGTTATTTTGGGGACCCCTACCATGTGTTTGACCAACAGTTGCTGAATGGAATTTGAGGATACTGGGGATTCATTTTTATGGCGTCTCAACGAAACATATGTCACTGAACTCTGGGAATGAGGACTGCTCTGTAGACATCTTTAAACTAAGGTTTTTGGTCAATAGATAATATAGTTAGGTTAGTTGTTTTGTAATGGTGGAGTGGATTTGTAAAATGTATGATACAAACATTGAACAAGGTCATAACAAAGAAAAAGAAATTCAGATACTTCAGAATGCTATAAAATGCTTTATTACAAAAAGTGAATATTGTCATAGCAAAACAGCCCTATGTGAACCCAACTCATTTTTGCATAATTTCTATCCCGCATAAACAACATTTGCATAGCGCTAGTTAGATTCTCAGTCCAAGTCAAAAAGTAGGAGTAATGTAATAGACAAAACACAGTGTAATTCAAAACATCTGTAAAGAAAAAAAACGGCAAATAAAAGTCTAAGGCACAGTTTGTATTAGAAAGTTGAACACCACATTTCAAAGATTCAAAAATAACCTAGTAGCCACAAACCGTAGCCGTTTTTAGTGTATTAAAAATAAAGTTACAAAGGATACTGATCTGTAAGCCATTCCCTTCACAACCTCAGCATTTATTACAGTATCTCAACAAAAAGGCTGGCAATTGTGCTGTGAGAAGTTAAAACCTGTTCAGAAAAGTTTACTCCCTCCAAATTGCCTTTAAATTTGCTTTTATGTTCTTTCACACAAGCCATGCACAACAAAAACTACACATTATACAACTCTATTAAGTTAATGCACATATTATTGGTTGATGGTACACTTGGTAACAAAAGTTCATCTTGCTGATATCCCTTGGTAAAAAAAATTATGATTTTAATGAATTAAAAGCAAGAAAAAAATACACCAAATAGTTAGGTTAGCTTGTCTAATTAAGCATATAACTATTGGACAATTGTGTTACGATTATCTATAGGCACAGTGAACCAGTGACTTAATGAAACAATGAAAATAGCAAATAGGTATGCATGTTTCTGTCACAAAGTGTAGACAGAATGTTTTAACATGGCACCGCACTGCTTAAGAGTAGAGTCTTCAGTCTCTTTGGCAATTTTAAACGATCGTTATTGTATATAGTTTGGTGTTTTTTGCGTCTATTGATGATTCTATACCAAAAAAGGCAAACAAAAATCCACCTAATAGGAGGCGTGTGCTAAATATTTGATATCGCTCCTGTGTGCTTCTATAGTGAATGATAGGTACAAATAAAAATAAATTCTCAGTACAAAGATATTTTAAAACTTTCTAAATTTAAATTACTGCACTTTCCGTTTTCAGACATAGTAAGTCAAGCCAATATAATGTGTCGGACGGGACTGAGCAAGTAGATCCATACTAGGAAAGTTCTCAAAAAAAGTATATATATATATATATATATATATATATATATATATATATATATATATATATATATATATATATATATATATATATTATATACTTTTTTTGAGAACTTTCCTAGTATGGATCTACTTGCTCAGTCCCGTCTCGAACCACAGCATAAACGACAGGTCAATCTTTGATAAATTACGGATCTGTCTGCACGGCGCCCTCTGCAGGATGCCAGGGGAAAGAGGAGGGAGCTGACTTTACTGGTACCAGGGCGTTTTTCGGACCCAGTGCAGAGTGAAGCCGGCGTCTGTTCGGATCTTGATGGAAGCTGCTTCAGCCTCTCGCACCGTCTCCTTCACGGATTGCATCAAGTTCTGGGCGTTGTGCACCAGCATCTCGGTGGCCTGGAGAGGAAATCATAAATATACCTCAATCCTTATTGTAAATATACCTCAAGTTCAAATCTGGGGACAACAACATTCAAACCACAAAAAAGGGGAGGAAAAAAAACATTAAAGAAGTGCATGGCAGAGATAGAGACTCCCCCAGCAGAGAGACAGGTGACGGGGGAGAGGTGTAGGGTCAGAGAGTGATAGAGTGAGTGATAGATAGATTGAGAGATAGATTGAGTGATGGAGTGAGTGAGAGTGATAGAGTGAGTGAGAGTAACAGTGATAGAATGAGGATGAGAGAATGCGTGAGGGTGAGAGTGAGTTTGCACCGAGAGCCAAAACAATTTCCTAGTTTGTGACTTCCTGTTACTCACATGGCAGTAAAAAGGATTCTGATTCTGAGATATAGTGTGTGAGAGTGATAGCGAGAGAGGATGGAAGAAAATTAGAGAGTGAGAATATGAGTGAGAGAATGAGAGTGAGGGAGAATGAGAGTCTGTCCGTCCTTCTGTCTGATGAGTGAGGGCATGGAACCAAAAAATCCCTCTTTGTCCTTCCCCTGTTCAAACTATGTGTTGCTGTATATTTTGTATATTTTTATTGTTTTATTTAGTATGAAATGTGCAAACGTTACTACTACTAGCACAGAACAGTGCGTAGAGACAGGGGGCAGATTTATTTTTGACAGTACGGACCTGTTCTGACTCCTCTTCGCTGATGTTGGTTCGTCCCAACATTGTGGCTTTGACGGTGGACAGGATTTTGAGCTGCGTGCTGATGGTGGGAATACGCTCACACACCTGCAGGGAACAACAAAGTTAATATTTGTGCTATACCATAATAAATGTCTTTGTCAACCACTGGAAGAATAGTTAGATTGAAAGTTAATCTATCATAAAATGGATAACTGACCTGTAGGAGGTTGGTGCGTATGCGTTTGTCCGTGCACTGCTTGGCCACCTCTTTGGCGAGCCGCGTGACCTCGTCGGACGCTTTGGCGATGTCTTTGGCGCACTGGATGAGGGCGCGCTTGTTTCCGCTGCCACCGCGCACCAGACGCGACATTTCTGCCATCAGCAGAGCCATACGCTTCGCCGCGCCGATGATGTCGTTTCCCTGGAATCAAACAAACCTGGTCATAGCCGACTCAAAGTTCAAACGTAAAACGTTACTCTTTTACAGAGCACTGAAAGAGTAACGTTTCCCTTATTTTTCACACATAAGAGCAACAACACACACTTGCAGTTTTCATGAAGGAACGTCTACCGTCTCCTGCTGCTGTTGTTGTCATTGTTGGAGCTAAAGTCAAATTTCTGTATGGGTTGTTCATATATTTCATATTTTTAATTTGTTTCCATTTTAGTCCTGGGCTTTTCTGTGTCTTTATGTTTGTTCTTGTATTTATTTTTTTATTTTTATTAATTGAATGAAACACAGTGATCAAAAAATACCTTTTATTTTTGATTAAGACCCTTTGAGAAGCTAATTTAGTCACTGTGGCCGAGAATAACACAAGGGTTATAGTCGTTAACCAAGACTTCCGAAGTGAAACCAAAGTGATAAATAATCTGTTATATTGTCAATGTTCAAATCCAGGTTGAAAATAGTTCTGTTGAGCTTTGTGTACACTATTGTATCTCCACTCCTTGCGTATGAAGTGTGCTACACAAGCTAAACTTGCTTTGCCTATTCCCCCATGGATGTATACTGGGTGGACTGACCTTGCTGGACCACTTGCGGGCCTCGTCGTGGAGCTGCCGCGCTGCCACCATCATGGGCTCGTTCACCATGTCCCCGGCCTGCTGTTCGGGGAACTCCTCGTCCTTCTCCTCTGGAGGGGGAGGTCTGGGGGGAGGCACCTCACCCTCCGGCAGCGGGGGCTTCGGGGGTGCCAGGTCGTCGTTCAGCTGAAGAGACAAAGGAGGAAAAATTAAAATCTCATGTAGAGTACAATTAGCCTATGGATTTACAATAAGGCTACAATTAGCCTTATTACAGATTTTTCTATTTATTTTAGGTTGTTCTGTACTGGACCTGTGTGTTTGGGTTCATTTTTTCATGTTGATGATGATCCTAGTTGTAAACGTAAAAGTTGTTCTTACGCTGAGCTGGTCGATCTCTGGGGGAGGAGGGGGAGGAGGGGGGAAGTCTGGCTCCTGCGGCTGGAACACTTCTCTCACTTTGGCCACAGCTCCCAGGATCCTGAACCCAGAATCCAGGAAGTCCTTCTGCAGCACTAAACAAAACACAACACAGAAAATGGTCTTTTATAATTATAACAAAAATAATACAACATTTACAGATCTTTTTGTTTTATACATTTATTAAGTGTGGGGCAATATTTTCTATCAATCGCATTCATTAGTGTGAAAAATTCAACATGTTGCTGTATTTCTTTTGTGAAAAGGATGCAGTGTCTGAAATTGACTTTTCTAAGACCTGAATTGCCTGAATTTGTCATTAAAGCTGAAACAAAAATGTTATCCAACAATTTTTGTTTCATAAATAATACATGATATTTGTATAACATGTATTATTTATTTATAATACATGATATACAATGATATCATTCACTTCTCAGCAAGACGGTCCTGGGTTCGAATCCAGGTCGGAACAGGGCCTTTCTGAGTGGAGTTTGCATGTTCTCCCCGTGTCTGCGCAGGTTTCCTCCGGGTGCTCCGGTTTCCCCTACCACTAAAAACATGTACTATAGGTCTGGCATGCGCCTCCTGTACTAGCCCCACTCCCATCTCTGTGTGGAGGGAGAGACAAATGCCCACAATTGTAAACCCCTTTGTGACTCTGGTCTGTGAAAGGCAGGATATAAAAAAAGAATACTTAGTGATGGTGGTCCTCTCTTTGTTACTTTTCTGTTTGAAAAAGTTGATCTAAACATGTGACGGAGGCAAATAATACAAAACTAGCGAAAGAACCAAACTGTTTTGAGAATGAGGGACTAGTTTGAGGGATTGATTCATTAGATAGTTTAATGTTGTTGTGGTTTGAATGTTAGGTCATTCAAACTGGTCAGCACGTACTGGGGTCGTGGATGTTGCCGGCCACAGCCTTGGCGTCCATCACCATGGGGGAGATGGTCTGACTCAGCTCGTCCCGCGCCGCTGCCACCATTTCTCTGAACTTTGGGTCTTCAGAGTTTTCCACCTCACGCTTGGCAACCAAGAGGATGCGATTGGCGCGGCGAGCGATGCTGGTTGCCCCGGCGACGAGCATTTGAGGCTGGCTGTTAGCCATGGCAACACGGCACTTGTCCAGGTCCTTCTTGATGGCCTCCTCTGAAGCGTCCAGCAACGACTTTGTATCAATGGCCTCGTCCACCAAACCTGAGCAAGAAAACATGGCATCAGAGTCAATTTATTTCTTAAATGTAGCACTACTTTTTCCCTTAAAATAATACAGTTTGTTTTCCCCAAAGGAGGATCTAAGGCAGCGTGTAGGGGGTTAAAAGTACAGAAATGTGCCAGTACACTAAAACAAGCTATAAAAGTGATGAATATAGGGCAATGTAAGGAAAATGTTTGAATTTGTATGATAGGCTCAATTTTAATTTGTTTTTTACATAAAATCATATATTGTATATTTTTGCTTTCACTTCACAGATGTCTTTCTTGTGGTCTTTTAGCAATCAAAAATCCAACATATACGTTATTAAACACTGACATGTTCATGTTTATTGTGTCCCTACCAAATAAATGCATATATGACTATAATATGAATATAAATTACATAAAAATAGATGTGGTTAACCATTTTAAAGCCAGGGTAGATTGCTACAATGTGCAGTACTTTTGTCTAGTCAAATTTATGAAAATGAAAATATATAGACAACTACTCAAACTACTACTACCATTTACTTCAACCATTATTGCTGTGAATACTTAAGTGTAGCCTGTTCCAATGAGTATTCAAATTACAGTGATTACCGAATTGAACCAAAAATATATCTTTTGTAGAACATAACCAGAAACTGAAACACACACACCAAACCCATTAATCAGAACATTTTAAAAAATCTCCACTATCCTTTAACCAATTTTAATCAATTTTAATCTAAATTTTATTTTTGTATTAATTTATTTGGTACGGACACAATCAACATGTTTAGCACTACAACATTTATAGACAAGGCTGATTTTCAATGTCTGTTCCTAGAAAGGACAGAGAACATATTTCTATTTTTACATTCACATTATACAAAGGCCTGTGTGTCGTATTTTAAGAACTCTGTCTAGTATATGTTTAAAACGAGCTGAGTCCAAGTTTACTTTAAGTTGAGGACTTTTTATACATTTATGAACAAATATAGATAGGAGTTTTCGATTAAACAGCAAGTGATTATGTTCATGGAAGTAATATGAAGAGGGCCTATGACAATCCAACCTGCAAACTCAAGTCAACAAAAACCCCATTCACGTTCAAATGTATAAAAGTGTTAAATGAATCTGAAATCTGCAGCAGCACACAGGTTCAGCATTACACACCGGCGTCTCATGCCAGGGGCCTTACCTTCTACACAGGGGGGAAGTGAAGGAGGGACAGACAGTGACCAGGAAAGAAGGACACAAGAACAAAAACACAAACAAAAGAGATTCACAGGAGTCACAGAGGGAAAAGAAAAGGTGACACGACTGAAAAGTGGAGGAAATGAATTAACCATGCAAAAACATAGACAGTAGGATATTTGGAAACACAGCTATTAACAATTTAGTCAAAATATCACTAAAATTTCAGAGGGAGGGGATACTACGACAAGAAGAACATGCAAATACCACAAAGAAATGTCCCCTGTTTATCAAAGCTGAGAACTTTGAGCTGTGAGGCTGACATTTTTTACCTGATTTATCAATATATCGTTAAAGATGTGGTCAAAATTATACCATTTAAAGACATATTTCCTGTTTGTTTACTTTGTGCAAGTCTAAACTATTCTAGTTGTAGATTTATTAATGCATTTTGTAAAGAAAGAGAAACAAAAAGAGTTGTATCAGAATAAAATCAGACCACAATATGACGCCTTCCTCGAATAGAATAGATGTGTGAGATTTTCTGTGTGAAAGATGTGACAGAGACCAAAAATGTAGAAAACTAGTAATAGAATCGATTTGTTTTAGAGCCGGGAACTACTTAAAGCCAGGACGATAGAGTCCATTACATAAATCAATTTGTCTTTTGAAAACTAGGTACCCAAGCTTTAAATAACAAAAGACGGCTCACTTTGACATTTCTGTAGTTTTTACATTATTTCTGCCTAAAGTCTTGGTGTAGCGAGGTAATTCGACACATATTTCGGTAAAAAGTATGCTAAATAAAATACATTTTGAAACCTACTGCATGGGAAGGGTAGGACATGGATAGCTAGAAAAACACACCTAACAAAAGGCTAAATACTAAGCACTATATTTGAGTGTGTGTTTGATTTGTGCACCTTGTTGGCCCAGGCGTCCTCGTCCCAGGAAGTCAGCTGCAGCACGCGGATGATCTCGTTTATTTCTGCGCTCATCTTCTCGAACGTGAAGTTTCTGTTTTTCACCGCCTCCTCCACGCCGTGGCTGCCCGATGTCTTGGTTGTCACAAAGATTTTTATACCTAAAATAAAAGTTAATTCTGTTAGCAAGACAAAATCCAACATGTATTCAAGATGATTAGCTTCTGGTTGCAACTTTCTCTCATTCAAAAGATGTACTAAAATTGTTAGTTGGTCAGGCAAGACCTCCAATGTCTCATCATTTTGAAAAATGTATCAATAGGAAAAGGGCTGTTACGATTATTTTACTGTTTGACTCGTCTAGCTATTATTCTTCTGATTAATTGATTAGTTTGTTGAATCCCTGTGATAAACTAAATTTGACCAAGATAAAGCTACAGTAATACAGATTTTGAACATGTACTTGCAGACAACCAGGATTCTGACCTCAAATACACAGTGAAATACATTTCTAGTGTAGATAAGACATAAAACAGTTTTTTGAATATGTATGTATGAATGTGGACTAAAGGTATGTTCCACCTTTAGTCCCACAGGTGGAACATTTCAAATTCAGGACAGTGGGACTAAAAAGGACACTAAAACAGGACAATGAGAAACAATAAAACTAGAATAAATAAACTAACTAAAAATCTTTGCTGAGGCATAGAATTGCATGTGGGAAAGTATCTTAAGTATTATTCAATGTAAAGATTATACCATCATCAAATTAGTTACTTATTGATTACAGTTGTTCAGATAATCAACTAATTGATTCTTGATTGAGTGCAGTGTGTCAGACCTGAGATGAGGATGGGCAGCAGCTCTTTGACTGTGTTCATGGAGTTTATCAGCATCACTCTGTGCTCCTGGTGAGTCAGCTCCTGCTGCCGCTCGTCGATCATTTTCGCCATCTTGGTCATCCCTGAAAACAAATCAATGTGTTTATTTCAGAGCAGGAAAAAGTGTATGAGAAGCAGAAGTCATGACCAATCTAGCAGTTAGTAGATTATAATAAGGACATACACAAGAGTCCTTAAAATCTCCAGGTATTTCACACATGCTCTCATTACATAACAACTGTATTAGTATTAGTCCTAAAACCAATTACTTATGCAGAAAAGTGTGAGGTAGTCTCTTAAATCTAACTGTTAATGTAAATACGACCAAAACATTTACACATTTAAATCTAAAGCACTCCACATTTTTGACAGGCTGATCAAGGATAATGATATTTGGAGAATTGGTTTGAAAACTTTTTCCCAAACCGGCTGTTGTACCATAATCCATGTATTTTAGCAGAAATAATTAGTCCTGATTGACCAAGACTCCATTGAGTAAATAAAAGACTAAAGCACAATAGTCCTACTGAACAGAAAACACAAACACTAGACTGTGAAAGTAGAAAAAATGTATCTCCTAGAATTGCATCAGGAAGCTAAACACTATATATAGTTTACCTGGTCCTAGGTTCTTTGTGTACGTGATGAGGTCTGGGATGGACTCCACCACTTCAGCCACCGTTAAGTACTCCAGGATCCCTTTGCAAACCCGGATTATTTTACGAACCTGAAAGAAAAAACAAACCATTTGATTGTCTGTTTGACACAATCTGGCTCTGTCTGAAATGTCCCCACTGTGAGACGAATAAAGGAGCTCTTAATGTTTTTGGGAAATCTTATTTAAATATACAAATGGGTCATCTGCCAAAATCTCCCACAATGGCACACTGAGTTATTGACCATTCAAAACAAAATTACGTATTTTGATCAATTACAATTAGCAACTTGATGTCTCTAACAATATTTAGAGAAGAATTAATAGAAGTTTGTTTGTCACTGAGAGCAGAGTAATATGTCCCCCATTTTAGCATATTCTATTCATATTTAGAGAAGTAGACACAGTAATGTACATCACACTTCAAATGCGTCATGGTGACAGTTTTATGCCATTATACAGATGCAGGGAATGCCACAAAGGCCACATGTGAAGACGACGATGTGAGAGAACCGCTTTATATTGGCTCTAAATATTTTCTACGTAAGTTAGACCCCTCCTCCTTTCGCCCAGAGCTGCTGGTTCATCAGATAGCTCCATGTTGAAATACAGAGATGACTCTTTTGGCCGCTGCGGGAGAAGAACGCGCCTCCCGTTGATGGATGACTCCTGCTGACGAACGCAAAAACCTCATAGACATCGGCGGCCATTTTGATTGACCCTTTCACCTGGATGCATGCGCACTGAGCTCATGCATCACTGTGTTTACTGCATAGGTACATACAGTGTACATACCCCAGCTGTGTCTCATATAGGAGTGGGGATGTAATTATGGGGAGCTTTATGTGGAAATTTACAAAGGATAGGACTTGAATGATGCCGTGGCAAAAAAATTCAGCTGTGATCGGATGTTTAATTAAAACCAGGGAGAGAGAAGATGCTGTCACCTCTGGCTTAGATCTCCTTTGACAAACACAGCCATCTTGGACAGCTTTCCTATGGTTCTCATTTTGTAATTTCACATTCAAAAAGTCTGAATTTACATTATTATAGTGGACTTGGCCTGAACCGTTTGGCTCCCCAGCGCTATTGAGAAACGCATAGCATAGGCTTTGAACAGTTTGAACCACAGTAACACTTTATTATTACTGTGAGGAAATGTGTCTCTGCATTTGACCCATTATTCCAAAGCGCCTTTGGTGACATGCGTACCTCTGCTTCGTCAAAGGTGAGCAGCAGGTCGGACGTCCCGGAGAGGATCCCCCTGGAGCCGTCGATGAGGTAATCACGAGCGGGGACCGAGTAAGGGTCGGCTTTGAGCATGGATGCCGCCTGGACCAGCTTCGTGCACGCATTCTCCACTCTGACAGAAAGAGACGGACATAGTAATTAAAGCTCTGTAAACTGCATAGATTACTGTAGAACATCTTACTTTAAAGCTGGGGTATCTAACTTTCAAACTACAACAATGAAATCCATGTGGCTAGCTCCTCGCTTTCAAACAGTTTGGTTCTATCTACATTTTCCCATTGGATTCTACCACATCTTTAGATTAGCTTGTCCAGACAGAGAAGTGAAAACAAGAGGATCGGACCACCCTCACTCAGCCAATCAGCTCTCAGCCCAAAGCATCAAATAGTGACTCACTGGGTTCTTTGTGACAAGCATGCGAAAGATAACATGTTTTTCAATAAGACAAAGATAGCATATTATGGTCCAATTTGATCAAGTTTTACATTTACAAAACTCATTTCTGCTGGGACAAATAAATGTATAATTAATTTAACCAAAATCTAGTAACCCCAGCTTTAATGATTATTCTTGATTACTTATCTTTCCCACAAAAGCCTCTGAAAAAATAAAAGTCTATTCGTGTCCGATTTATGACCTATGGCTATAGCAAGATCATCCGACTTAACCTTGGGCTGATAACCTGGATATAAAAAACTGGATTTGAGCTGGATTGACTGGATTCTGAAATTGAATGATATGTCGTTGTTGATTCACACCACAGCTGCATTTTATTTGGAATGTTGTGACAATAAAGTCAACGACTGATTCCAGAGGGTCTGAGATATACAACAAGGTATAGCGTGAATGTATGGATGGAGCTGAATTTGGTTCGATGTCAAGTTTGTGTTAACAGCAAAGGGCCACATAAAATGACACAAAGGGCTGCATTTGGTCCATGGGCCTGAGTTTGGACATGCATGGGCACAATGCTCATCAAAGCATTTTGCATAATTTGTCATAAGGTTTTATGGTTTAAGGACCCATTATAGTGAGAATACAGGTACACATACAACTCAGAGTTAAAGTTATGAAACTAAATGATAGTTCAACTTTCACAGTATCAGATTAATTTGATACATATACAAATACCAGATTGCGTTGAAAGCCCTAATTACAGCAGCCACCACTTATTAAAATACAAACCCCTGCTTTGTGAGAGCTTGATGAGAGGGTGAGTGTTGCCCTTCGGTGAACAGTGCCCAGACCCTCACTATATTTAGAGGCGCTGCATTCCTGTGTGTGCGCTGATGGATGACGACAGGGTGACGATGTGGCTCTGAAGCACCAAATGTGTCAAGCCCCGTCACCTTTGCTCCCTTCTATCCACTTCTATCCGTTCAGCCCTGACCTGTACAGTCAAGCACAGGGAGGCTATAGCGGTGGGATAGGAGGCTCACGCATTTTCTATCACTGCCACAGTAAGGGAGGTGTCCAGTTACTTACTAATGGTGCATGAAGTTTAAATCTTTCCTCCTGTTTTTGTTCAGCAGAAGCACTCAACATGCCACATTAGACTTTAGCTACGGACTGATAAAGGCACAGACAGAGCAGCAGTGTCCCAAAACAGCTTCACTCAGGACTCACTTGATAAAAGCAGGCGGCATGTCCCGTTTCATGATCTGGTCATCTGTGGTTTGTACCGTCTCCTTTCCCACCTGCAAAACACAAGAGTTTAAGTAAGTAAGTAAGTAAGTAATCTTTATTTATATACCGCCTTTCACAGACCAGAGTCACAAAGCGGTTTGATAAGACTTATGTACAAGACTTTGTAATACGCTCATTAGCTCAGACAGGATCAGTCCAAAACTCGCTGTAATAATTGAACACAATGGCTCAATCTTGCAGTTAAAAATCTACACACCCAGGTGAGACTTCATTGTTTCCTCCATGTTTTGGAGATGCTTATTGTTAACACATACACTTTATTCCCACCAATCGTTGGTGGCAACTCAGTAAGGAACTGGAAGCTTTTGCCAAGAAGAATGGGAAATTTTACCACCAGAGAGGATAAAAACACAAATTGACCATTTATTTTTCTTTTTTTTTACCAGTTTACAAGCAGGACTGGCTAAAATGACTGCAGGAATCTAATCATAACATTCAATATAACATTCAAACTTTATTTTGTTCACATGGACCCAATCCCGCTTCTAAATCAGACTATAGTCCCCGAGATGGGTTCAAAGGATACCCAACATTCGAGCTTAAAAAGTCAAAACTTCATTGGTTGACGATGATTATCGATATTAACCATTATGATAAAAGGTTAATACGCAACAACGGTGAGAAAGAAGAGTTCTGAAACCCCTCAAAACCACAGCGATATCCTCTTACTATACACTTTTAAGCGTCTGGATATGCAGCCAGTGAGTGTGGCAGAGGCCGGGTGAGGGGAGACCTGCTGGTGACTTTTGCATCAGTCAAAAGGATTTGCATCACTCCAGCTATTTTCAAATGAGTTTACATCTAATCTCCCTCCGATCTCCAGCAGCCAACAGCAAAATTGACCCCAGAATATTATAATGGACGTCAATAATCATGACGTAATGAAGTAAACATTGAGCAGTGCGCAGATTTAATATGGCTGAGCAAAATTATTGATATGTTAGTAAATGTTAATTAAAATGATCTGTCTTGCGGATGTTAGTAAGAGTGATCATAAGCTACACATAATATTTAACTGTATATAGCTCATTTGTATTGTGTGTTCTCTGTTAAATTTACATGTTTTTATTCATTATATTTCTGTTAATCTAAGTTCAAGTTCTAGGCTGCTTCATCATGAAGTGTCCCTGTAGGGCACTTCATAATTACTTTAATTACTTCTAAAAAAAAAAAAAAAAAGACTAAAATAACTTGTGAATGTAAAATGGAATTGGTATGTGGCTGCAAACTCCAGCTAAAGTTATACGGTAAAACGTCAATAGGAAACCCAAGAAAAGGCAGTAAGTTTCAAAGCACAAACAATAACCATGACATAAAATCAAACTAATTAGTTCCTCAAAACAGTTTGGTTCTCTCACTAGTTTTCACATGCACATATTTTTGGATCAGTGTTTTCAGACTCTCAGTCTCAGCCCAAAGCATCAAGCAGTGACTCTCAATGCTGAAGACGGCTGAGTCACTACGAAAGTTCATTTTACTTTCGCAAGACTCAAGTAATTCTATTATGAAGAATACATTGTGGGGTAGGTCTATGTATACACAAAAAAATTCAAATATATTGATCCTGTCTGTGGAAAACCAACCCCCAACAAATACTTTTACATTTATACTAAAGATTGCTCCAAGTTTCAAATGCACTTTTTGCTGAGTTGGCATATAGTGTTCCCTTCACTTGAATATGCTGCCTCAACTCAAAAACCCACAGAAGTCAAAACACAGCCATCTAGTTCTCGTCCATTTCCAGAATCTGGGCTGATTCAACTGTGATGAACGCACGAGTCACTTCACTACAACGTTTCTCCTTCGAGACACGGGCCTTTCATCACTGGTTCTGTCGCGTCTTGCCCCAGTGGCCAGGGCAGCTGCAGGAGCAGAGGATATGTGCAAAGAGCAGCTGAAATGCCTGAATGACTCACCCATCTCCCCCGCCCTCCCTCTTCTGCTCCCACCTCCACAGCGATGACCTCATTCTCTGCCGGGAGTCGGGACCTGACAGATCACATACGCTCACCGGGGTACTGTCAACTCCTCTGTGTTTACAGCCAGGAAGTGATGAGCTATTTTAACTTCTTCATAAGGAGCTTCAGTGAGTTCCGTTTTAGTAAATAAAATTAGTATATTTTTGTTGTTGTTGTGTGGATTAGAAAGTATGGAATTGCAGCGCTTGCCAAGACTACTGAGGCATCCCACTCAATAGTCCAAGACCCCCATGTTACAAACCTTTAGAAGTTTGTTATACCCAACTTTTTAACCCCAATCCATGTTTGTCCAACAGAAAAACTATTGTAAAAGTAAGATATTGTCAACAAATCAACCACAATATCTTCATCTTATTAGAAATCATCTTTTGCGTACTGTAGCAGATAGGTCAATTTTAGGGTGGGCCTCTTTTTTTACTTTCCTCTCTGATAAAACTGACTTGGTTGTTGGCACAGGACACATATTTAGATCAGAGCAGCACACAGACTCATTCCAAACATGTGGTACAAAGCATGGTGGCATTGAAATAAAACAGTCCAGTGCATGGCCTAACTCACCCGTGTCTGAGATGGAGGTCTAAGGTAAATGAAACCTAAAAATGAAGCTTAACAATTTAAATGAGGAAGATGGCACAATCAACAAACAAGCAATCAAAACTGTCAAATGAACAAATCCTAAAGCGTTTGCCTTGGTTGAACTATGCATTTCATAACAATAGTTTCATATCAGAAGGTCTAGATGCAAGAATATTGGTTCTGTTATTAATTATAAGCCACATTTCATTTCCATTGTAGTATTTGACTGAGCTGTATACAGTAAGTAAGAAATCTATCTACATAGTGATTTTTTTCAGAGACGTGGTTCAGAAAGCGTTTTGCAATTTGGTGCAGTCTTTCTGGTAAAATCCTATTGTAGCCACAGATGCCCTGGGGCACAGTGACAGAAATCAGACTATTCAAACTCTCCATGGAAAGGCCAAACATTCTTGTGAAATGAGAGCTCGCCTGGTACTGCACTTAAATGGCACAAAAATATTTTAAAAAACACAATAGTCACAGATCTCTATTGATTTAATACAATGTTTGGAATTGTTACTTTTGTACTTCTATTATTGTGTTTTGCAGCCATATCAGAAATATCACTAGTGGCGCTTCACACTGCTTGACAACAGCCAATACTGAGCCAAGACTTGGGGCTATTTTTACATTGAACTGTTTGGCCTGCACTTGATGCACTTTAGACAATGTGACTGGGGTCTATCGGACTCACGGCTCTACTGCAAACTCCCATGATGCTTTGGGAAACACCATGACTAAGCAGCACATTTACTACTTTTGCGCTTCGTGCCCAGACTTGAGTAAATCTCGGCTGTTTAAACAAATCCACAACAATGATTGTAAACCTGTTTCTCAGTAGTAAAAATACAGAATGGGGGTTGCATCATGCGCTGAGCTTTAAGTTTAGTGGAGTAGTTTTTGATTTTACGATGCAGCGTGCCACGTTTCTAACATGTTGAGTTGAGTTGAGTGTTTATTTATTTCGGGTTAATGTACCTCAAATCATCCATTTACAGTTACTTGTGGTGGAAGGAAACGTATTGAAGTTGAGACTGTAGATAATTTTAGATATGTATGCTTGGAGAAATAGCAAATCGTGCTAATTTTAAGATGGAGTAGGGGGAAACTATTGTGCTTACATTGACAATAATACTGAAACGAAGATTTCGTCCTGGGTCCAGTGACCTCAAACAAGCCCAAAAGGGTATAGTTTAAACACAAAAATCTCAAATATTTAGCAAAGTAGTTCACCAAACAAATACTTAACAATAGAGATCCCTGGTTGATCAATTGGTCTACTTAAAATGGGGTATGACAAAAGCAAGTTGAACTATTAGTTTGTTGTTCTGCCTTCAAACAGGAATAAGAATCAACTATACATATAATTTGATGCAGTTTTCTTTCTGTCTTTATGCATCTGCAATTTTTTCTACTTTTTATTTTACTCTAATAATTTACAAAATGGTCGACTAAAACATATTTTGTATCCTCTTGACTAAGATGCCAAAAACTCTCCTACAGTTCCACGTAATGTTCTTGCACATGTAAGTATTATACATGCCGTCAGCCTGCCACTAAAATGGTTTTCTAACATAAGAGATTGGTGCCTATAACCCTTTGCCACATTGGGCAAAGGGTTCTTTCATTACTGAGGTGGTGGCTACAATTGTTTGCTGTTCATTGTCTTGAACGTTTTGTTGAGCCGGTGATGTAAGCCGAGTATGTAAACATGAAGTGAGGAACCGTCCTGTTTTGAGACTCTTTCATCGGAGCCACAGTCCAAACCACAAACACAGCTTCCTCTTCCCGGAATAGCCCGAGACGCTGTAGTACGCAGCTCGAAGTACTACCACTACTATCGCTATATATTTACAGCTTTCCATGAATTTTCTGGGAAGCAACATTCACAGTTATGGTCGTAGGCTGGCAGAATTCATTTTTTTCTGAATTTAAGTTGGTCAAAGCTTTTTTTTACATTACACTTATTATTGCAAACTGTCTATTGAGCCAAAAATCAACAGGTTAAGCAAACTTTTGATCATTGTGTTCTGTTAAAATGATCAATAATTTTCAATGGTTGTTTGATAAAAAATTACAGGTCAAGGAGTATGGGTTTTCTGTGGCCAACGCAGGCTGATAAAAACATGGCGTAGTGCTAATCCTAATGCACTAGTAAGCAATTAGGATATCAGATCAGATTCAGATTCATTTATTCAGTAAAACCACATTGGAATACATTTGCAAAAGTCCCCAGTGTGCATGAGACATGTACATCATTATTTTTTGTGGTTATTACTGCAAGCTATGGGTTTGAGAGCCCTGGTTTGGAGTAAAATGAATGGTGTGGTTATTTCATAAGAAAATGTCCTTTAAAATGAAGTGTAACCTGCCATGATAGCACATCTGCCGAAAGAGAAGTAGCTAAATGACTTCATCCTCCTCAAATTCTATGA